GTCACAGAAACCTTCAAAGAAATGAGGACGATAGATCTTGGTCATTGAGCCAGGGTAAAAAGTGTAAAGGACTGAATCAACTGGCAAAGGTCCGCTGCATTCATTGCCATTGAACTTGAAATACCATCTGTTGCATTTGGCATAGGGATTGTCTAGACAAATGTTTCCTTGGTATGAGACTTTAAGGGCCGTATTTTGGTGCAGTTTGTTAAAAGAACATTCCTGAAAACAAAATTATGAACAAATTGAGGAAAATTAACCCAACGACAAATATCAAGGGCATTGCAAAAAAATGTGGATGCGTAATAATCCCTGAAGCCGTTGTTATCAAAGATCAATGCTGGTTTTTTTTTTTCTTTAAGAAGAACACTTTTTGTAAGAACGTTCATGGTTAATATTTTAATATTAAAACAAATATTAAGAAATATTCAAATATTCAAATATTAAGAAAATACCCAGACTGAGAGTCAGTTAAGGCCGGCTCTTTATTTATAATTTTGGTAAGGAGTAAAATTAAATGTAAAAAGAGATAAAGATAGAACTGAGGTCTAACAGGACAATTAACTCAAATACTTAGGACATTTTTTAACATAAAAAAAGCAGTTATTGTACGATACACTGAAGAACAACTCAGTTTGTAGTAGAAATTAATTAGTCTGGTCACGCCCGAATTGATTTATTACCACACAACTTTGAGAAAAAGTTAGGGTATGTTTCAGACTCAAATCAAGCAAAAAATAAGAGGAGGATGTTGCAGAAAAAAAGATAACCCACCTAAAAATATCATAGGCAGGGCAAAAAATGCGGATGCGAAATATAATTCATGAAGCCCGTTGTTATTACTGAAAGAACAATGTTGGTTTTTTTTTTATTAGAACCTTTTTCATAAGGTGAAAGAAATGTAAAACTGTGGTCTAAAAGGACACCTAACTCAAGTACTTGGGGACATTTTTTAACATATACAATGCGGATATTGCACAATAAACTCAGTTTGAAGTCGAACATAGTCTGTTCATATCTGAATTAATAAATTAAGACACAACTTTAAGAACGTGTTAAGAATGTTTTCAGGCTCAAATCTCAAAAACTAAAAAAGTGCAGCCTCAGCACCAAAACTACATGTTCTTATAAAAGAAGTGTGTAATATATTAATAAATTTTAATTGAATTTCTCACGATTACCAGCTCCTACAACATCGATTGGGCTAGTTAAAAAGGTAGTCTGAGTAGAACCTGGTGATAATGAACACACTGCTTTGTAAAAAGAAAAAACAGTTTTGTGAAGAAAAGGTACAATTTTTGTTCTGTGACCAAGGGATTCAGCTGTGTTTGGAATAACTATCTTGTAGCGTTGGAAAGACACCCTTTGGAAATGACTTCCCTGCCCAGCGGCTAAGCAAGGGGTTCCTTCAAACCACAGTATTTACAGTCTGTGCTAATTAAGTAAAGGTCATGATAGGTCTGCGTACCTAGGAATGATGTAATCTTGATTTTGTTTGTTTTACTGATTTACGAAGCCTAAGAAAAGCAAGTGCTTACGGCTGATACTGTTTACTTTCATTGACAAATTTGTGGAAATTGGTGAACGTCGGGTGAAGTTATGTGAAAATGCCTGTAGGTGACCAATGATATAAAGAAGAACACTGCATCTTACGTAACAGGTAACGTAAAACGATAATATGTAACTTTAAAAGGGTGGAAAATTCCGAGTTGCGGAAGAGGAAAAGAGAATGCTCTGAAGAAAATGATGCTACAAGCTCAAAGTCATTTTTAGTTACATCGATGCGCTTCTTTTTAATGCTAAAAAAACTCGCGGTGTAGGTGTCAGTTTGTAGACTAAGTTAAAGTTAGTGTCTTCTAAGGTGGCAACTGACTAACGCGCTTCTCAGTAAGCTTCAACTTCAAATCACTCATGCCCTGAAGTATTTAATCACTAAATCGCATCTGAGGAGCTCCAATAATTGTGAGCTACAATTGTAAAGACTGCTCACCTTTATTTTCCCACTGTCCGTATCCGTTTCTGCCTTCCATGCGCACTGTTTCCAATTGGCCAGCTGTCTTGGGTCAATATTTGCTGTATCCCCTTTCTGACCCTTTATTCCGATTCCTCTTTCTCCTTTGTATCCTTTCGGACCCCTGGGGCCAGTCATCCCAGAGATACCCGTACCATTCACACCTTTGCTTCCTGTCTCTCCTTTAGAGCCTTTGTATC